AGCACACTGTTTGGGAACCACTGCTGTATAACACTGTCAGGTCCTACTGGCAGCACACTACAGGACTTGGGACATTTATTTTAAATAAAGCTGCAGCGGATTAAGGGAATCAACAGTAAGGAATCAGCTACTTCCTTTTTATCCCCACTGACAAACGTTGTCATCTTCTTTCACTCAATCACTAGTTCACTGGCTCACTTACACAGACACACAATTGCGCACATTTGCGCACAGATTCACAAACACACACACACTCGTACACACACAGTGGTCGACCATGTGGTGCAGCTCCAGGCGTGAAAGCCACACCTGTGGGTTTCATCCGCCATTCTCGGAGCAGGACAATGATGCTCTCTGTTGAAAGCTGCTGGACATACCACCATACATCTCTGTTTCTCTGTCTCATGCACCCTCCTCTTCAGTGTCTCTATCTCTGTAGGTCTTTAGCCATACTTGTCTTTTGAAGGAAAATACCTATCACACAGATAGGTTGTCGCTGAAGGAAAAGAGAGAGAGAGATGAAATGCGGGGAGATAGCTGTCCTTTCAGTGCCTCTGCTGATTAGAGCACTCTAATCATTTGGCCTGAGAGCAGAGAGCACAACTCAGAGACTCAGAGGGGTGAGGAATGCCTTTGCTCTCTTATACTGGTTTTGACTGCAGTGCTTAGCAGGGCCAACTTTGCTCTGTGTGTGTGTGTGCTGTGTGTGGTGTGTGGTCTGTGGTGTGGTGTGTGTGTGTGCGCGCGTTTGTGCATGTATGTGTGTGCGTGTGTGTCACAGCCTCAGTTTGGCAGACAGCCCGCCTGGAGCGTGCCACAGGCCTACAGGTGCACACACACTGCATTTGTGTGTGTTTCAGCTTTCTACCATTGTGTGTTTATGTGTGTGTCAGTCTAAATACATCTCCAACCGTTGGATCTTGGTTAATCTGTTTAACATGCACTCAGAAATGGACAAATGCACTCATTCAGTCTTACGGTTATGGGAACATGTGTGCACATACACACACGATTACACACACACACATTATGCCTGCACACACACAGACTCTAAAGTGACAACCATCATGATCACCAGAGGAGAGTTTCATTGTAACAGATCTTATCTTGTCCACTCCACTCCTGGTCTGAAAAGCTAGATGTCTAATCAGGACCAAGGAGATGGGTAGAGATAAAGATTAAATGACGATGTGGGTTTGGAATGGGGTAGAGGACTGAATTAAATGTGTGTATGTGGTGTGTGTTTATGCGCTTTTGTGCACGCATGCATTTTTGTAGCATGGGTAAAAAATATTCAAAACTGGTAAAATGGGCCAAAACTAGTTCCCACCGTTGTTGGAGTTGGCGGAAGCCAGCTCGAAATGTAAATGTAACATTGCTAGCCTTAACGTTAGCTTGCAGTGTTACAGATTTTAGAGGAGCTGTCTGTGTGTGTCTGTTCTTTCTTACTATCCATGTTACATATTACCATTTTTATCACAGTTTTCTGATCTGCTCTCATTTGTCAAACTGCCTATGAACAAGCAAGATTCCCATTAAATAATAGAACTAATGTGGTCATGTAATTAGACTTAAGTTGTGGAAAAGACCCAACCTGGCTCTTGGACCATGGCAAATAGAAGAGACACCATTTAAAAAAAGTCACTTATTTAACAAAAATGAACCGAAATGTAAGCATAACACAAGACGTAACTGGGGTCAGTAATGTAATGTGCATGAGGGTAAGAGTGATGTGTGAATTGTTGTAAAATGCATAAATTAAGCAAATGAAACCATGGAGAAACTAAACCTGTCACATCGTCGAAGGGAGTGCCTCTGTGGGGAGAGAGAAAGAGAATGTAACAGCAACAGCATAGGTCTTTAATCTGGGAGCACAGGGCACAGGTGCCACCAGAAAACCAACAGCAGGGGCCGTCAAACACAAAACCTTTGTGGCTACTGAAGGTGAAAACTACATAAAACACCTAATTCTGTCTCAAACCTTTTTGTTGATGACTGTGATGCTGTAAATACCATATTGTTGACATGATTACGTTGCTTATGGTAAGCAGAGCTACAAGTGGAATCCCCTGCAAACAAACAAACGTGTTAGGATGAGCCCCTGTTTACTTGCTACCAGCTAACAGAGTTTTTCCAGACTGATTTTACCATTAATTATGTAGATGCCCATGCTCTCCATATCCCATAGCTATTGCTGAGCCCCATAAACAACCACAACCCTTTTAAAGCCTTACTGTTTATCTGAATATAACCGTTCTTGGACATTTTTTATATTTCAGCTGTGTTGGGTGTGCCTCTGTACCAAGTTGTTAACCAAATTTGTCAATGTTTTTCTTATGTGAAATTGGTTTGGTGGGGTTGGTTTCCCCTTGGTCGTACTTTATTACTAATTTAATCGTGTGCATTACAAATTATGAGCGCTGAGACTTTTTATTGAGACAAATTTCATTGTTCTCAACCTTGTTTTACATCAGGAAGAACAACATGTTTAAGAGTGATCAACGTGTCTCAGACTGCAGGGTCAGGAAAGCAAGAAAGCAATTATTGAGGGCACGCAGACCCTTTCACACTATAAAAAGTAGTGATGCTAGCAAGGTGCTGAATTTGTTTCCATCCATCTTCCTTGTTTGGCATGCCAGACAAATTGTACATGTTTTGATTTTCATCACTTTATCATTGCCTTATCTCCTTGTTTCTCATTCTGTCTCCTCTTATCTTACACTGGGGCCCGCACCATCTTTTTCTATCCCTAGACACCCTCTCTTTAGCCATCTCTCTTTGACCCTTTTTCTTTTTCTCTCTCACACACTGGCGTCTCAGACTAGCGCTTGTCGTGACTGTCTTCATCTCCAGCATACTTGAGGGATTAAGGAGGGATGAAATTCACTCATTCGTGGGCGGAGTGAAAAAAAAAGAAGGGCCCCGTACAGTACAGCACTTTATCTATGGTGCCGTGAGATCTTTAATGAAACCTGAGGTCGCTCTGAGCGCCAATGTTTAATCTCCTTCTGACCCACCTCTGGGTCCAGAAAACACTGAATAAGGCATCTATTACGAATATCTTCATCTGAAACCTCAGTCCCCCCCTCCAACCCTCCCCCCAATTTATGGCTACATTATTAAAAACAGTTCACCCAAGCCGTTTTTTTGTACAAACATATCACTGATATGAGCTTATTTATATTTTCCAAGCAAAACAACGAATCAAAAAGTGTAGGTTAAGCACTGGATTGGACCAGCCGTTAACTTGCAGGTAGTAGCTGCATCAATAGTCCTGCTATCAGTGCTTTTAATTTGTATATTTGTTATTTTGTCCTGTTTTATCTCTCACTCTATGACCCCCTGTCGCTGTTATGGGACTTTATCATCCTGAAGAACTGTTCATGCAAGACAGTGTTTCCTTAAAACCCCTGATAATATCAATGACTGCTGCACTTTTTAGTTGGTGTTATCTGTTAAGGAGCTGTATCGTAAATGACAGGCAGAGGAACAGTGGCACTTTGCATGAAAAGGATCTGATTACTGTCTGACTTTGTAGTTCCTTCACCAAGTGAATACATGCTTTTATCTCTGTGCATGCCTGCACAGTAGCAAATGCGTCAACCTGGATAAGTGTGTGTGTGTGTGTGTGTGTGTACTGTAGATTTTGTGTGCAAACTGTATTTGTGTGTATGTATGCATCCATTTAAATCACCCCATCATCAGTATTAAAGCTTTGAGAGGGTTCCTTTGATCTTTATGTTGCAGTGGAGTCACTAAGTGACTCATTGAACTTACTGAAGTATTCTTATCTTCGCTGAAGCTGCATAAGGCCACAGAGCAGGTGAAAAGATATTTCTAATACGATGAATGACATATTCCTGTCTTCTTTAGTAACATCCACTGTGCAGATGCATAAATGTCCTTAAACCACCCTATTTGTGATCAATTTTATTAACAACTGAGCTTTTCTTTGCACCTGCACATACGCTTTTTTGAGTCTCCAATGAAGTATTCCCATTCTATTCAACCTCGCAGGGATGCACACTTTTATGTACCAATCTCCAAACAAGGGCAAGAATGCTGTGCGCTTACAGTCATCCTGTTATCCAATTAATGCACCCCATTTTTGGGTATATCGCCAGCAATGCGCTTTTCCACCTCAGTTCACTCCACTTTCCGATTCAGACTACATTCCCATTCTCCTCCCATCATGCCCTGGTTCTAAACTTATATTTAAGACAGTCCAATGGGGATTATCAAAACAGCCTTTAACCAAAATGTCTTTCTTCATTGTTTCTAGTATCAACTTGCAACTGTTGTGCAGCTGCTCAGGCTTAGGAAGTTGAAATGAATTATGTTGTATGATATGGCAGTTCAAAAAAAAGCAGAAGGCAGAGAGGAAAGATACAAGATACTGCTTACACATGTAAGATATGTTCCCAATTCATAGTACACATTAATACTACACAGTATGTTAACCCCAGTACCAATGTCAAGCATGGAAACTGAGCAAAGAGAAAGCAAAAAATACATTACTGTTCTTTAATATACAATCAGACTTTGACTCAACACTCAAGGAGAAACGTCAAAAACAAAGTTGATGCAAACTAAGTTCAGTACAAAGTGCACAGAAATCTGCATCTGATTTTCCACCAGAAACTATCTTTCTTTATCTCCTTTACCAGTTCACTTTCTAATACTTTCTTTTGTGCAAAAAGAGATGATAAAGACACTGCGTCTGATTGTCAAGGCCCTCAAACTGTGTCTGTCTCTTGCTCCCAGGACTTCATCCAAACTTCATCCAGTACATTCACTATTTTTACAACTCTACACCTCCCATTGTAAAAACCAGGCTGGCTATTGTGAGCTGCTGACAGAGCTGGCTTCCCAGCTCTACCCCTGACGCATGCACTAGACTGGCACAGACACACACACACACACACACACATACACACACAAACAAGAACATAGAAATAATCCATAACCTTCTACATATACTGTATAGAAATAAACTCAGTTCATCAGTTTCATTTTCTCTTTCTTTCTTTCCCACACACACATGCACATGCACACACACATACATGCAGCTTTATAGCAGTGGGTAGATAATGAGTGGTTGTTGAGAAGGAGTGTGTGTTGCTAAGTATTGTACCTGTACCTGCTAATTAACACATACAGACTGTCGGTATGATTTAATTATCTGTGTAACTACCACACACACACATACACACACACTTGAAGAAAATACACGCATATTGTACACACAGAACACCTGTATTGAAAATACTGCATTGTTTCCATAGTGATGATGTAAATACACTCTAAATAAGAGGGAATGCAACAGTAGGTATCCCTGGAGTGTGCGTAGAGATGTGTTTGTTTGTGTCTAGACAGTACATGCATTCTCTGATGCATGCAGTTGTACAGGTATGATACATGCCAATGCAGTCTTTTACTTTATTTACATATTTCACATTATACACCAGATATCATGGCTCATACTGTATGATTTGGTGCATTTACTCCCCCTAATCTTAACAAAAGTTCAATTATCGGAATGGATTAAAAGGAAACTATAGCTGTAATCCATGCTACCATTACCACATGTTTAAGTCCTGGTGGATAACAGTATTTAGGCAGTTTGCCTCTGGATCTTCCTTTACATGATGTTATTGGCTAAGAGGCAGAGATTATTTGATGTTTTCATTCGATCACATGTTGACATGTTAGTCATATAAATAGCTTCATTAAAATAAAAATAGATAGGCTTTCAAAAACACAGACTGGGTGTGCAAGGATGAATGTGCATGCATGTGTGTCTGTTCAAATGTCTTGCTCGGTATCAGACCGCCAGGAGAGGGGACTGGCAAGAGTGTTTGTTCTGCTTCTTAAAACAAACTCTCGAAGCAGATGAATGATATCAGGCGGTGCGATTAACAGAGACAAGGCTGAATGAAAACCTATGAGGTAGTCTTTTGCTCCCTCTCACTCTTTTCCTCTCCGTCTTTCTGTCATGCATACCCTTCTGACTCCTATTTCATGGTAAAACTCGGAGTTATGGATCACATCTGCTGAGATTCAGTGACTAAAAGAGCCAAGAGAGAGATGGAGTAAATGAAAGGGAATTGAATGTACATAAAGTTAACAGCATAGAGGGGATGAGTGGGGGACAGCTAGGCAAGGAGGGGAGGTTAAAGAGTGGAAATAAAGTCATCTCATAACGCCACTTTGCTGTTATGCCACTTAAGTGGCCACAGACGCTGGCAGTGCTTCTAAGTGGCAGAGCCAAGCCCCTCTTTCCCATTAAGAGTTAGAATAAACTATTTATTTTTATTATATACACGTCAAAGCTATTGAGGAGGTCCAGGGTCTGTATTCATCAAATACATGATGTATGTATATATATTTTAATGCTTTAAATATTTGAACTACATGAGGCATGCTTGGATTAGTTTGCCACATATTTAAACATTAATTTTTTGTTCTTTTTAGTAATATAATATGTACATTTTTCATTTAGATGGATTTAATCTGGGATTTTTTTTGTAACGCTGATTTGAGGGATATGTGTGGTTTAAGTGGTGAAGTTCTTAACTGCTCCAAAATCTCTAGAGAAGCTGTATCATCAGGAATCCAAGAGAGTCTGCCTTCTGGTTTACCAAAATCAACTTAGCATTAAGATCAACTGTAAACTGCCTGTCTGTTAAGGGACTTCCAACTGTTTCATTTCCAACTCTGTGAAGACCACACAGTTCTCCCAAGTGCAGTCCAATAGCAAAATACAGAATTGTGAATCTGACGTCAGACCTAAGATGCCTCTGGGAAACTCTGTGCTCTGTTGTCTCCCACGTGCCTATTCAAGAAGCACATTGTCGCCACAGCCGAGAAGTGGTGGGAAGTTGGCAGGCTTTGCAGCCGCAGAAAAAAGCTTGCATTTGGTTTGTGGCTGCTGATGAGTGCAGCCACATTGTTTACTGTGTGATTAAGTTAACAGGTGTTGCTCACCAAAAAGAAAAGTGGGAACTTTCTATTGTTATCATGTTAGTGAGAGAATTGTCTTAACTGACATTGTAACTTTTCTAGGGCGGTGGGCAGTCCGCTGGTGATGGACCCCAACAGCATATGCAGGAAGGCAAAGCGTCTGGCGGGGAAGCAGGCTGAGCTGTGCCAGACTCAGCCAGAGATTGTCAGTGAGGTGGCCAAAGGAGCCAGACTGGGAGTCAGGGAGTGCCAGTACCAGTTCAGGTACCGTCGGTGGAACTGTACTAGCCACAACAAGTACTTTGGCAAAATACTGCAGCAAGGTGAGTGAGGGAGGAATGGATGTGTTTTGCTTGACAGTGACTATGTGTCTTTCTTTTTCCTGCATTTAACTTATCTATAGCTTCACATTTTGGGATATACACCATTCTCTTCTTGCTGAGAGTTATGTGAAGATCGATACGACTCCTATATCTGTCCATTCGAAATGAAGCTACAACCAGCAGCAGCTTAGCATGGGGAAACAAGGAAGCAAGGGGAAACAGGGGAAGCCTGGCTCTGTCTAAAGTAACACCATTTTCCCACAAGCACCTTTTGTTACCCTTGGACAGATCCAGGCTAGCTGTTTGGCCCTGTTTTCAGTCTTTGCTGAGCTAAGCTTACTGTTGTAGCCTTATATTGAATGGACTGATATGTATCAATCTTTTGAATTAGCTCTTGCCGCAAAACCTAATTGTTCCCAAAATATTATATTACTTCAACACAAACAAAGTCTAATCTTTTATACAGGTATAAACGGACTAACAGGTCTTACCAGTAGTTTAGATTTGCTCAAGCACTTTGTTAAAGTTCATTTAAAAATGAAAACACTTGCATATGACTCAGTTCTATGGTTTTTTCTTTTATCCTTGACCTAGATGTACATAGCTGATGGAAGAGATATAAATTACCATAATCATCTTTGTGGCTCTCTCAATCAGTCTTTCCAAAAGCATTTCACATGGTTTAAAAAAAACACATTAAAAATACTGTCATGTCCAATTTTTCCCCTGTGAGTACCTTAGGATCTGAACCCATGACCTCATGACCGCAGCTGACGGTCTTACATCAACTTGAGGTCAGATCCCTGTCTGATGGCACTCCAACAGACAAGGGCAGCTGTTGTATTTCAGACCAGACGTATTCACACTTGACTGACTCTCCTCTTCATCAGATTGGGCATGCTTGAAATAATCAGCTAAAATTGCTCTTTTCTCTTAACATCTCTCTTAAGATCTCTTAACATCTTCCTCCAGCTCTTTGAAGTTTGTAATATAACTGATGTTGGGTCACCGCTGGGTCTTCTCCAATTACTGTGTTGGTTTTTCTCTTGTATGATTAGATTCATAGAGAGCTGCCTGTCTCTTCTTTGCCTGGTACTACAGAGAGTCTTTATCTCTCTGTTTAGTCAACAAACAGGGAATAACCGATATTGATATACAATATACAACAAAATATGTGTCAAGCATGTTATTAAACCCATTTTGTGGTTGTGGATGTGTTTACTGACGTTTTATGCTCAACTGTTTATCACATATATTTTCCATAAATAATATAATAGTATAGTAGTAATATAATAGTCAATAATAATGAACGAATCTACGTCAAAGCTGCATAACACTCTGGAAAACTTGTGATTACTTCTTGGCCTAAGCATAAATAAAAGTTCCTAGTTCCTGTCATGAAGTATTAAACCCTAAAAATGCCATTTGGCTATGGTTTAAACTTTTAACATTGTCTTATATTGGAAATGAATAGTTGACAGACAGAATACATATGTGTTTGTACTTCTATTTCATCTTGATGTAGAGCAGTTGCACAGCAAGCAAGTGTAATGTGATAATCTTGTTGCTTTCTGCTGAGACAAAGCCAGAAATAGAAGCATAACACAATAATCAGAAATATGTAAAATAGCAATTAGATGTGTCAAACAATCAGTTTCTTTTCATTTTCTTTTCAAATTTTCATTCAGTTCTGTGTCATTGATATTTCTTAAAAGCATCGTCTCTATAAACCACACAAGGTACATTCTTGCCCATTCTTGTGCCATTCATTTGGCTTCACACCAGCAGAAAAGTTTATATTATGTCACTGGCCCATGTAGCTGGTGATCAAAAAGCATGTTTCTTTTCAATAATCTCATTTGAATGTGTGATACTACCAGTGTTGCCAGTTTCTCTGACAGAGAATGAATGAAAGAAAGAAAGAAAGAAAGAAAGAAAAATAATGAAGACACAAAGATAGATTGCGTTAGAGAGGAAGAGAGGGGGAAACAAGGGCAAGAATTTACCAGTAGAAGACATACTAGCAATTAATCATAAATTCCTGCCTGTCTATGAGGAAGGCCAAAGTGCTCCTCTGTTTTGAAACCTTTGTCCTCAATTACCTGGATCTGCTCTTAATGGCTGTTTATCATGAACTAGTACCAGTAAATGTCAAAATAAAAGTGCCTCTGTATTTATTGCTAACTCTCTCTAAGTGGTTTACTTAACCTCATTGACCTCTATTTAGAGTTTCACATAATAATAGTCTCTTTCAAATTATTCTAATGACATTTTCTCTGTAGAGAAATGTGATAATCAAAGTGAAAGCCAGTACAGTCTGTGCAGATTTCAATGTTTCAAAGAGTAAAATTGTTCAAATACTACACATAGTGGCTTTAAAGGTGGAGTTACGTGTCGAACTTCAATCAATAAGAAACATCTGGTGGACTATTAGTGGATTGCACGTCTAATTTAGCTGTAGAATATTTGTCACTCTCAGCCACTGTCATGAATGGTATGAAATGAAAATGAAATTGTTTGTGTTTTTTGCCATTATGAGGTAGCTTTTTGAATAGGCAGGGAAGCTACTTTGTCACATGAAACTATCATGTGAACATCTTTCCTTCATCTGGTGCCAGGAAATAACAATTTTCTTAGTTCACATGCATGTTTGGAAAAGTGTTTTAGTAAATATTTTGTAGCAGTTAATCTGATTACCATATATTTAAAATGCTAGTCAAGTATATGGTAATGATGGCATCTGTGTGCAACCTGCTTTGGTTTTGAAGATTTTGTAAATCGGATTTCTGGACAAAAAAAATATATTTTTTCAATATTATGTGGTTATGTAAGGGTTACTACAGTGAAAACAAAGCCACAGGGTGTTTGGGTCTGGAGCACTACCTAGCTGGCTGAGCCATCCATTTCTGCCTCTCTTTGCAAAAACATCTTTGGGCTATCTCCCACTATTCCAACATAAACCTTGTAGCACTACTTTGCTTTGTGACACGTCAAAGGGTGACAGTGCTGCTGTCAACGTGTGTGTTTGAGTAAGAAACAGACTGTAAAGTTTGTCAGTAGAGTAATAAGATAAGTTGCATCACATCTCAAGATTTATGACTGAAATAACATACACACAGATATTCATGTGGCATTGTACACGGAAGTGTGTGTGTGTTTATATAAAAGGGGTTTTAGTTGATTTCACAACATGACTGAAACACTGCCATTTCACACCTTTATTGCAAGAAGTGTGAATGAATGAACATGTCGACACAAGAATGACAACTCATTTTGCATTGGAATTGAGATGTTCTCTCCTTTGGATCTAAACCTTTCAGGTACATTCAGCTTCAGAACAAGGTCAAATTTCTGCTTTCTCATTGTTAATTGGTAATTATTATCCTCTTTTCCTTGATCTTTGCTGTGTTTAAATACCATACAGACCCCGAAGCAGTCATAACTCCCGGTGTGAGCCAGCCAGCATACAGTGATGCTAGTAATCACATGAGGGATGTTGTGGCTCTTCTTTGAAAGTCATGCTAGACCGCTGTAGAATAAACAAGGACTCTTGCTCTGGGCTGTAATTAAACTAGTCATCAATCGTGTCAAATATTTAATCACTAATGATCCTCTCAGGTTGACAGAGGTATAGAGAAAGGTATGCACATGTTTATACCTTTGCACACTTTCTTTTATTTAACTGGTGTTTAAAGTGAGTAGAACTACTATACTGTAGGCAATATGTTGACGATGATTAAGGATTCATCCTGACGTGATAGTGATAATATTCTTCAAGGTTTTATTTAAGTGATATTGTGTCATTTTACAAAGTAAGTAAGCTAGTACAAAGACAGTGTCATTCATAAAATGCTGAACTGGCATCAATCACCAAGGACAGTCAGGCCTGTTCCAAATAGACCAGGAGATAATTAGAAACAATACAAAATCCGGTTGGCCCCCGAACAGACAGAGATAAATCAGAGCCAGCAATTAAGAAGCAGCGGCAACGAGCAACATATTGTTTTTCCCTTGACAGTTCACACTCTCGTCTCACCTCAAAAAACACACAAAAACACTCCTGTGATCATTATGACACACCAAAAAGGTTTTCTGCTTTCTGCGTGTAGTTTGTGTGTTATCTCCGGGTCTGTTTAGGTTGCATCCAGGTGCTGCAGTTTCCTACCACAGTCCAAACTGACTCTAAATTGCCAGTTGCTAAGAGCTTGAATGGTTGTATGTGTCAGCTCTGACAGCCTGGTAAACTGTCTATGGTATACCCAGAGGCTACATTGGGATTTCTTGTGTGGGGTTATGTTGTTTCAGTGTTGCCGTGGGTGCACATCATAGCCTAATATCACAGCATATCTAATTAGATGAAGCTCGCAGTCATCCTCAGCCACAACAGACAACTTATTCCACTTGGCGGACTAGATGCTGCAGGATGCATTGCAGTCTACACAAAAAATGCACAAAAATTTGGAATGCACCAAATTCACCAAAACTGACAATGCTCAATTAACATCTCGCCCTAAGAAAACAAATATATTTTTTCTTCAACTATGCTTATCTGGAGTGTGAAGTATTTTAACATTGAACTACTTTCAACTTTAACATCCGAGACCCCTCTTGTGTCATTGCCTAAAAGTCAGAGTATTAAAAGAATATGTGCTAATTCCTGCAGAAGGGCTTTGTGGAATTAGAAGCAGACATAGACAGGCCCAGACACCCACCGTGGCAGAGAATTTGTTTGGAATTCATGTCTCCAAGGAAAATATGAAACAGGGTGCCTCAAATCATCAGATTTTTTGATAGCTTCTTTTACGCATAATAATACTCTTCTCTCTGTATTCTATTTCTCTGTCAACCATCTGCTCTGTTTTTTTTATTTCCTCTTACTTTCTCTGTTTGTCTGCTTTCAGTTGGACTATATTTTGCTTCAAGTCACCAATATATTTTCCTTTCCACCGGGAAGAAAATAAACCAAAATAACTACTTGAATGATAATTAGGTCACATAATACTTTTTTGCTGGAATTAAACATATCAACAGGACATTTGACTCACGCAGATTTCCTGTACTAAATTCAGTGTTTCACCAGTGCATCCGAGGACATCTGGACAGGCTTTCAGCTTGTTTGGATACAGCTCGTGTTGCTATCACCATATTGTACTAATAATGACTTGTGTGCTGATGTTTCACACACGCGTCTCTAAATAGATCCAGGGATGTTTTTGAGATGACACATCTTGATTTCAGTATGCCACTACTCCTGAAAATCTGAACAGCAAGGTGTGGTCTTAACTGAGCTACAAGGAGGATATAAAGCCCACACAGTTGCACAAGTGCTCCATGTGTACCACAATGCACATGTAAAGATAAATAAATTTAAGTGATTTATTTAATCTGTCAGAAACCACTGCCAGTCCCAAACAAACACAAACCACGAGGAAAAGAATCCACAGGACCTGTAATAATAAGAGACACAAAACAAAATGTCATAAGTGACATAAAACAATACTTTTCATACACATGCATCGACACACAAACTTGCCTGCACTGGAGACATCTCTGGGTGTTGGGGTGTACAGCTGGTATTGATATCACCGCGTGCTGGGGTGTGCAGGTCTCGTTGCACGCCACCAATTATGTGTGTGTGTGTGTGTGTGTGTTACTATTCCTAATGAATCCCATTCACTGAATCATGCGATATGGAGTTGGCAGTATTGACGGTGGTGACTGCACGCTCGCCGCCTTCCAGCTCTTAAGAATAAAAGTCCTTCGCCTAGTCTCCACGCACACATACAATGGCTCGCTAAGTGGCTATTCTTTTTCTTTACTCAGTCCCTTGTTTCTCATCTATCTAGGCAGAGGAAATCCTCACTGTCTCCACAATTCCCACTGCTTGCTTGTTTCTAGGCAAAACTTAGACACTCTCATTGTCAACAAAACCTGTGACAAGACCAAAATTCACTAAGGCATTGTGTTTCTCAATACTGTAGCACTCAGCCCCAAGCCCATATAGTCCTACTGATGACATAAATCTTTAGGCAGGTCACAAATGTATAAGTCTGTAAGGTTTTACAACCAGGATGAAAACCAGCAGAATAGTGTAATGCAGAAATAAACAGCATCAGTCAGGCAGGATTTTTTGTTCAGAGCTCGGATCTTTTTACTCGTGTCCAAAAACAAATTACACAAAATTCACAATCCTCACCACAGAGATAGCAGGTTAGCAGCAGACTCCCACCTAACCTCTATACCTGTGACCTCTACCGACCCCAGGGCTACAGTCAAGGCACCTAAACCCCTCCCTAATAACATGAACAAAACATACATGAGCATTAACAAATACAGAAGAAACAAGCTGCTTAATTAACTATAGAAATACTAACCAAAAGCCAAACTTAACAAAAAACTCCACTTCCAACCCCACCCTGACTGCAGCCTAATGAGTTGATTGACACCAGCTTGACACCAGCTGAGTCCTGTGGCTGCATTCTCATGTGCGCACACCATGAAAACAGGCCCCTTGGGAAGTAGACCTTTAAGAGTGGTTAGTAAGATTTCAAAATAAAAGCACAACATAACAAAAACTAAACTTCCTTTGCTTTTGTCTACCTTAACAGTCAATGTGAACTGGTGTGTTTCACTTTCACCATAGTAAGGGGGGTGTTTTCCAGCTCCCTAACAAAGAAAGGCTCAGTAATTTCCTAAAACAACTAGCCAATGTAGTTTTCAACAAACTCCTAAAGAGGAGTAAATAGTGCATTTGTGAGGGACTATTTTCACCAGCGGATTAATGCACATTCGGATTATTCTTAGCAGCAGTAAGTGAAAGGTTGACTCAAAATTATTCTCAGTACCCATGTTCATTGTAATGAAGGAATATGTCACCCAGGGCAAAGGAGTGGTTGTGTGTTTTTTGTTTGTGGATGAAATTCGATCTTCATTGCACAAAGGAATAAGATATATCTGGCTTTGGAAATGCAGACAACACTCGTTAGTAGCTTCAGTTTACTGGTTAGTTGGTTTTGGTCTTCTCATGGGATTTGCTTACAATAATAAAAATAGAGAATATCTTGTTTTCAGGTTGTTCATCCATCTGTCTGTCCCATTGTAAAATGACCTCCCCAAGCATGTTTTTGGTCATAATTTGAATTGATGTGGTAGTTATGACAAAATTCCACACAGATGTTTAATGGGACATGACAATTAAATGATATCCACAAGGTCAAAGGTCAGTTTCACTCATAATGTCCAGGAAAAACACCTTTTGGCCATTATTCTATGGCATAACTCAGGAACAGGACGGTAGATTGCAACTATTTTCCACAGTCGGTTGGACATTTAATTGGTGACACTTTTGACACAAAGGTCAAAGATCATTGTGACCTCAAAATAGGTTTTTAGCCATAATTGAAGAATTTTACACATGTTGAGTAACAGGGGCTTTTATCTTTCCACATCATCCATTCTATGTTTTACTTACTGCCTCATTCTAAACTATGATTGTTTCGACTGCAAGCAACATATTGGAGCACACCTAGCTAACCGTGATCCTGTGATTGACTTTCACTTACAGCTCAGAGAGGCTACAGATGCTTCATATCTAAAATGCTAGCAGAAAAGAAAAGAACCATATTTTCTATATTCTACAAGAATCCATCTTAACATCGTAATCAAGTACATGTGTATCTGATTATCATACATCTATCATAATCCTTCTTTAATCAGTTCAAATGTATATTCACTGAAATCATACATCCACTTGCATTTACATGTCCCATCAATATAGGGATAACTTCTTTTTAGCCAAAAAAAATACACTTTATATCTTTTATATAATTCCTTCAAAGTCTGGATAGACATGGGTGTAAACTGCAACTTGACTGGTTGGCAGAGGCATACAACGCAGGACGGTAATTCTAGTTATTACTGTTTTGCTCCTGAGCAATGTTTAATTTAATCCCAGTAACTAAACAGGTGTTTAAATAGATTTGAAAGATTTGAATGGTTTTAGGTGTTAGATCTTTCCTGGATCAACTATAATAAAGATTTCTCGTCAAAGAAAATTATCAGGTTTTCACAACCAATGTTTTAACCATGACAAAAGCAAAATAGACTAATTTTGAAAAATAAGTGTACACAAATAAAAAGGAGGAAAAAGAAGAAATACAATATTTACAAAGAAGTGTTCCCTTATTTCAGAGCAGGAGGTCTCTTGAGATTATTTCATACTTGCTCTTTAGTTGTTGAGTGAATGACAGAAGCTGCAATAACTGAGGATGAAGTGTTGAGCTAAGGGTAAGAATGATGCTGAAGCCACTGCTGAGGACAGATGATCAATTTGCAGTTGTGGTTGGACATGCCTTTAGCCAGGAGTGTTAAGCTCTGCACCAGAAATAAACCAGCAGCTGTGGTGTGTATGAATGTATGAGCATGTGTATGAGTGTGTGTGTGTGTGTGAGAGGGAGAAATAGCCATCCTCTCAGCACCATAAATCCAGTGACGCTAGAGATCATAATAATGGACCAGGACTGACAGAAAGGAGCTTTTATCCCGTTCCATGTAGCTGCAAAACTGATTGCCTTGATGGGGAGAAAGATGCCTGGATGAATGAATGGAAACCAGTTTCTTTCACTTGTAGTCCTCTTTCTTTTTCCCAGTTGTTGTCTTGTGTTTGATTGTGGAGGACATGGGGATAAACAAATACAAAGAGCTCTTTGAAAGCGTATGTCAATAAAAAGATCAACGAATATCTGAATGTGGTATGGTGTAATGTGTAGGCCTACTGTAGGTTATGTATGGGCATGTAGTGGTATCACTGTGTCATAATGAAAATGTTTGAAAGTAAAGGTGTATATCTGTGTGTCTGTCTGTGTGCATCAGCATATTTGGATTTCTCATTTTTCCAAAACATATTCTTCGACTTTGGAATAGTTCAACATTTTCGGAATATGCTTATGTAGTTAAGCTATCATAAAAAGCAGAAACATTTAGCTTGGCTCTGTCCTGGCTTTAGAAGTGCTTTTGTCATCAGATGTCAGTATATCACTTAAATGTTTCTCTACTTGTGCATTTGGTGACTTGTCTGCAGACCAAACAATAAACTAAAACCCTCCTTTTGCTTATCCCATGTACTGCAGATATCCGGGAGACTGCATTTGTTTATGCCATCACGGCGGCTGGTGTGACCCACGCTGTGACCCAGGCCTGCAGCATGGGAGACCTCCTGCAGTGTGGCTGTGAGGCGACCAGGAACAGAGCACCACCAAGGCCGCCTTCATCCTCTTCCTCCTCTGGGGACGGAGTGAAATGGGAATGGGGGGGATGCGGAGATGATGTGGAGTTTGGTTATGAAAAGTCAAAACAGTTTATGGATGCCAAGAGGAGAAGGGGCAAGAGCGACATCAGGACGCTCGTTGACCTGCACAACAACGAGGCTGGGCGGCTGGTAAGAAACTGTTTCAGAATTAATACTTCAGTATGTTTCTGTTCAAATTTTCAATGCAATACACTTCGTGAAGCGAATGTATTTCAACTGTTACTGTACTGCACCAAACACAGATCTGATGTTTCACTATACTCTCTTAGGTTTTAGCAGCAAAGGTGTTGCTTGTCCTGTGGAATGTTCCATCATTCCACGAACATGCAAAGAGAAAGACATCGCCCCCAGCCATATTTGTGTAGCAGCGTAAGCTGATATTCTAACAAGAATCAGGTTTCTGAAACACAAAAACAAGAGCGTGCCACACATTTTGTTTTCAAGCCTCCGAGGCAGGTAGCTTCTAACATTTCTACAGCCCTTGTAGAAGTTTAAAGTTCCTCTTTGTTCCTCGTATGAAGTATGGCCTCGACAAGTCAACAGGCTACCGAAAGAGCGGAGATAAAGTAGCAACTTTTGAGATGAGTCAATTATGTGAATTTGTAATATAGCTCTGTAATCTTCCTGATTACATTTACGTTTAGCTGTTTTGTCGCTCTCAGCTTGTTACACCAACTTTCAGAAATGTTGACACATGTACAAGCAAAACACAGAGTTACAAAGTTCACTTTAGTTGGGGTCAAAGGCAGGTAGAGAGAAGAGGAGGATTTTGGGATATAGTCCAATTGTAGCATTAGCGTACAAACCATTTGAACAAAAGACGAGACTTGCACACAAATGCCCAGAGGTTGAGAAATAAGCGTGCTGTGATGCGTGCAAATGTCTGTTTGTGTGCATGCATGCTTGTGTACTTGTATACACATTTTGCAAGTATGTGTATGTCTGAACGGGCGAGTGGGTGTGTGTGTGTGCATGTGTGTGATGGGTTAATTATGTGCAGTATAAGTGAATGATCTGTTGTCAAGGCTTGTTAGATGTAGGAAGGCCAGAGGCAACATGGAGGGAGAGTGGGGTTGGGGAGTTAAATTCCTTCTGAATAGCGTCTGCTTTTATCTTACCTATCTATCAGTGTGTGTAGTCTATTTGTGTGTGTGTGCGTGCGTGTGATCCAGTGGCTTTGTCTGTGATATATCATGAAAACACAATAATAAATTACTTCTTTAGAGAACTTGTCATTTGTCAAATGCAGTCCTGCGTCACTTCAGGGTACAAGTTTAAAAGTTTCCTTTGTCCCTTTCTTTGTGTTTGATCAACCTTTCTCTGCTTTTATCACCCATTTGCCTCTTCTTCACCGCTCTTTTTTCCTCCACTACCCAAAACCCTGAACTCACCCACCCCTCCATGCTTTCCCCTCCCAGGCGGTGAAGCTCTACATGCGGACAGAATGCAAGTGCCACGGACTGTCGGGCTCGTGCACATTGCGCACGTGCTGGAAAAAGATGCCTCATTTCCGTGAGGTAGGCGTCCGGCTGCTGGAGCGCTTCAATGGCGCTTCCAAGGTGATGGGCGGCAATGATGGCAAGACCCTGATCCCTGTTGGCCAGAACATAAAGCCACCAGATAAGCAGGATCTGATCTACTCTGATGAGTCGCCCGATTTCTGCCTTGCAAATCGGAAAACTGGTTCACTTGGGACACGGGGGCGCATATGCAACAGCACAGCCATGGACATCAGCGGCTGCGACCTGCTGTGCTGCGAGCGTGGCTACCGTGAGGAAACACTGGTGTTTGAGGAGAACTGTCTGTGTCGTTTCCACTGGTGTTGTGTGGTCCAGTGCAAGAAATGCTTGGTCCGAAAAGAGCTTAGTCTCTGTCACTGATGTACTGATGAACTGAGGATGAGAGCTGTCAACATGACTTGGTTCATATGACTCGATTATAATTACTTCTGTTACTTTTTGAGGTTTTTGCTTTAGTTTAACTAGTGTGAGAGAAGGATAGCATTTGGACTGTCATGATTTTTATTTTTGCACCGGTCACAGTCAGCCCCCAAAATTGTAATTACAAATGGTATTTGATCCCAGCTCCGGCTGTTTGGTTCCCAGGAATTTTGACAGAATAAGAAATGAGGGCCACAGGTTCAAAAAGTGCAGGAAGTGGATGCAACCATATGGCAAGTGGGACTAAAAGAAGTAAAATAGAAAGCAAAATAGAGAAATGTTTCTTTCTGAACTACCTATTTTTCTTTTTCTTGTATATGAAAAAGGACCAAAGAATGTGAAAATTTTCCATCTCAATGAAAGAGGAGGACCTATACACGGAGGACCTACATGTGGCACAGTTTATTAGTGTCACCTACACAATCAGTTCAACAGCAGCTTAAAGTTGACTATTATCTAAAACCTAGGATTTTCAGGCTTCAGCTTGTGCTGATGCACTTGATTTGGTTATGGAACTTCCTTAATTGACCGTTTGCTGAGCCCTGTCGCTCTTAATTACTCCCTGTTGCTACCCCTGTCAAGATTCTGATTCTCACATGAAACGTATGCAGTTTACAATAACGGGGGAAGATTTAGCTAGCTAATTGAGCAAATGAGTTGGTTTGTCTCTGACTGACTTGTCTTAACAGCAACAGCTAGCTGCAGAAATGCTCTTTAACTTTAGGAGTAACTCAGCATTAGATTAGGCCACTATTGTATGCTAAATTTAGCCAGGCATGCCAACGTTTGCAGCCTACATTTGAGCAGGTAAACAAAGTTGTATCTATTCTTCTTCTTTCTTTAATATTCTACTCTTGCTGTTTTGGGTTTTGGAAAGGCAAAAAAAAAGTGATTCAAACTCTTCATATACAGAGTATCACTCCTACTACAACCCTATGCATACCAATACAGCGTGTGGACAAACCAAAAGGTTGACAGAGCTAAAAAAAAGAAAGGATTGCTGTTTGTGGGAGGGGTTTAGTGAACGGTCAATTGTATAAACTGGCTGCTAATCTTCAAGGGCCCCACTGACTATTATGTACTATATGTTATTCCAAACCCTTCAGAGACAGTGTTTTATATCTACAGTATGCTGTAGCACCATAGAAAGATTAAATATCTCACTATGGCCCCAGTTCCAGAGTACTTTAATTTTACCCTGACATATGTGTTTAAAGAATGACAGTGCAGCAATATTCTTGATAATGCATTAACACAAATCAGAAAATCTCCAAAATTTGTATAAGTGTTGATATCAATTTGCCTCTCAGTTACAGTAACTGTAGCCTAGCCGTTTAACAGGCACACCAAATACAAATAGATTTTTTTTTCTGCTATCGCATCAAAAATACAGAAAAAGGGAAATGGTATCACATTATCATATCTGAAGAATACTGTCAACACCATGTTTTGCTGGAGTGGACTTGGCCTGCCAGCAAAGACTGTTATTTATATAAAGATAAGATGACAAGACTACTCACTTCCATCTCTCTCAGAAGCACTTTGGATACAATGGCTGACATGGAATTCCTCAATAGCTTGACAAGAAAACCTTTTGGGGTTGTCTGTTTCTATTAAACCAAAAGAGAACCTTACATGACATTGTTTGATATCAAGAAAATGTATATAATGTATTTTTGTTTATCTGTTCTGATATACAGGGCTAATGTAATAATGCACTTTGGATGTTAGCTTTCATTTGATACTGTATGTGCATATGTGTGTGTGTGTGTGTGCAAGTGCATGAGAGAAAGTGTTGTGTATGTGTTTGTGCAGGTTGGCCAGTTATCACCGTATCCTTCAGTTGATAGTACCTTTTATATATCTTTAAGTTGCTGTCTGACGTTATGTTGGTTATTAAAAGCACACTGCTCCTTGACTTTCTGTCTCTGTGTGAGGCAGACAAGATCTTTTATTTGTTGTTCGCCTTCAGAGGAAGTATGTTTCCCATAAACCATAAATCATGTCCTCTCATTTACACTTAAGTTTTATTACCAGACAATGTACAGTATGTATACTGAACTGTAATTCTACATTGTTTCCACTTGTTCTCTTAGGGCTGTTTGTCTTGCGTGAGTGTTCAGATAGGATCTTATCTTACCCTTAAAGATTCAGAATCATCTCATTTTGATCATACAGTTGGAGGTGTTTCAGGAAGATATCATGATTCAGATCTGGCTGTTCCCAAAGTCACATAGTTACTTTCAGTGTCTACTGTATTAAAGTTTTTTGCAGGGGCAAAATTAAATGACCACCTTATTATTATTATTAACATTTTTTAGGATGGCTGTAATGTGGGCAATATCTCCTAAGCCCTTTAAAATGTGTAAGTAAAGTGAGTCATTCAATAGACACTGGTATACAGGTAAATAAGAATTTTGAGTAACACGTTGGCAGTGATCTTTACATTTAGTATACTATAGTAACTTTGTTTTTGAAATATTCATATAAAGCATTTTGGAAGTTATCTCAGGTCTAGACCGTACCGTACCGTACCCAACAGTTCCAACCATGAGCAAGCGCTTGGCGACAGCGGCAAGGAAAAACTTCCTTCTCATTCACCTATTTAAAGACAAAAGCCTAAATCCTTTTGTATGGACAAGGCCCCAAAGTTTCAGATTTTGCCGTTTGCATCATTTCAGTGGCACAGTGACCCAGTACAACATATTGCGTTATTAGCCTGATTCCTATTGCAGCAATCAAGCAACTAAGAGTAATTCTAACAGATATTAGAATAAGATCAACAAACACAGTGTTTATGAAAGGGCTATATCTTATCACAACAATAAGTCTATGTACATGGTAATCATGATGACATGCATTTAGGTTAGTTGTAACTTTGTGTTAATATAGGGCCTCGTGATGGTGGCATTTATAGAAATAATAGAACTGCAGAAGTCACATGAAGTTTGCATAATTATTTTTCAGGGCTGACATTACATTTTATAATACAATAACTTCTGTAACTCTACAACACAAGAATGACTCAAGACAGAGTCACATTAACAGTGGTTTCTGATTTTGTGTACTTCTTTTTCTGATGTGTTGAGTCAGGCAAAACTGAGACCATTTTGATTTCTGCACATGTTAAATTAAGCACATTCCAAGGCAAGTACTTCATATTTTGGTGGAAAATAGAATGTAGTAGTAAAAGAGAAATATTTTTTACCAAAATGGAAATAATACAATACTGACTGTTAAAAACATTTTAGTGACAGCTGCATAATGCAACTCGTCCTTGGCCAACTATTGTGTTTGTGTCAAACAACTTACCTGTCAATAGGGTACTCGTTCATTGATTTGTCATCTATTTAAATACATTTTGTCATGTTTGCTTCACATTTTGTTATGCTGTTAATTTTTGTATTCTTCAGAAAATATTTCATATCTGGATGTTACTTTGCATTTTCCTTTAGCATAAAACTACCGTTTGTGACTCACATTCAAGACACTATTCAAATAAAGAGTAAAACATTAATGTTGTTATTTAATGTCATTCTTTCCATGTGCTGTATGAAATTGATAAATGAATAATGATATATTATGCATAACATTTTGACAAAACCTTTATTTGAGCCATATTCATATATTCAAGTGCATGCAGCATGAAATTAACTGATTGTTAGTATCAAAGAAAAGACAGAAAAATCGGTCTTTGTTGTATAGCATATTTTTTCTCAGTAGGTTTCTTTCTTCTTACGGTAGGTGTAGGCGTTAGTCTGAACTTTAAACGTGGCTTTGAGTCCAATCCTGACAGAAATATTCCACATCAAACCTTTAATACTAAATACTATGTCCTGCAAGGAGAAGCTGCAAAGCAGATTTCAACCTGCCAAAATTAATACAAACATTAAACATTTACAGACTAATTTAATAACATATTATATCACTTTTTCCTACGGAGTTCTTCCAGATATTATGTGAGTGTTACATGCATCTTAAATTTTTTTTTATACAGGTGCTGGGTCAACTTAGGTTTTCGCTTCAATGATGATTTTCACCAAACTAGATCCTTTCCGCACCTCTGCCTCCATTAGATTATTTTTGCCCATCAGCAAAAAGGGTTGTTGTTTTGAGGTATTTATGCTGTAGAAATGAAAAGACAAGGGGAAAAAAGAAAAGCGAGCCTGTATTAGTTTGAGCTGTACAAGTTGACACAAGTTCGTATTTTCCAGGAATTTGTTGCACGGTGGTGTGCAGCAGAGTCGGGCCAGCAGTTTTGTTTAAGACATCGAGAGGTAGGCCAAAAAGGAGGAAAATGCCATAGGGCACTTGTCTCCTCCATATCTTCCCTACTGTAGTTCCTTTGCTCTCTCCTCTTCTCTCCTCTTCTCTCCCTTTTCTCCCTCTTTAAGCCATGCAGGCATTCAGTGCTGCATGGGCAAAGCTAGAGAAAATAGACAAGTGAGCAGATAGATTTATTGGAGCATTGGTATAAATATAGTTGCCTGTCGACATCTGTGTGCATGTGGCTGCATGTGTCTGTCTTTGTCAGTCAGTCTGTGTGTGTCTGTGTGTGTATGTGTGTGTGGTGTCGTGTGTGTGTGTGTGTGGTGTGTGTGCATGTATTCATATGTGTGGGTTCATGGAGTGCGTGGCCAGGTTAGAATAGATGTATTTTTCCATGTGTCCCTTTGAGAGAGAAATAGTGCCTGAGGAATGCAACATCGTCCCCACTAGGGATGAGTTTTGTCTCCACCTACAATGACTGTTAAGTGCACACACACACACACAGAAACTCTGCCTCACACAAAGCATTAATGAAGGGTTGCCACTGTAAATGGATCTATAGTGCTGCGCTGCACACAGTCATTTCCGTAGATCAGTCAGATAAATAGAGTCCTGCCATTTCGTATCTTCTACAGTGTGAGTGTTGGTGGTCTGCTGCTTTTATTTACCATGCATTTCCGGCACATGTACACATGTGTTCACTTGCAGAGAAACAAGGAGAGAGCCAGAACATGGATCGGAGGGATGAGATTATATAAAAATGAGAACTGAGTGGGCCAGTACAGAGAAATGAGCGACAAGGGAGGGAAAATTATTAATGAATAGAGGAAAAAGGAAAGGACTAAGAGAAAGATAACGAGAGAGAGAGAAAAAGACAGAGAGAGAGACAGAGAGAACTTAGAGGAAACCTGACACTATAATGTTCTTCCATTTGTGTGAACTCTCCTCCAATCCTCTATCAATCTAGCAGTGAGATGTTGCTTACACAAAGGGCACATCTAGAGATCAACTCTGTGTGGGGTTTCATCTGATACCAATGACTGTAATTATAGGAGTGGGAGAGACAGACACACACAGAGAAACATGTTTAATACAAACCATGAAATGAAGCAATCTTACTTCTTTTACAGATGAAATATGCACTAAAAGTATAATTTATCACGCTTTCCAGATTGAGACACGCACATTCTCAAATTTGCACACATCCGCATGAACACACACACGACCTCCACTTTGACTCAGTGTGTTTGGAAGAGACAGTGATCTTTATGAGTTAATGCAGGCCCTGGAGGTGATGGCTCAGCTGCTGCCTAAGTTCCACAGCCCACCCAACTAGGCTGCTAGTGGTAAGAGATTTAATAGTCAATATTTTTGCATCTCTGCCTTTTAGGCACAGCTTGCCTCAGGACACTTTAATGACATTTACTGCACAATAGTATTAGACTTGACTTACTCGCAGGGTTGTTCCTGGGGTGAGGCGAGAGTGATAAATTGCTGTGCAGAAAAACCACAGCTATTGTACTTTCATTTTAAAATGTATTTTGGCAAAATTACCTTCCTCCTTGAGAAATATACTGTACAAGTGTTTTTCTCAAGGAACCTGTCATCATTGCAACATCCTGAAACAACACTTGCTGTCTTGAGAAACACTCATTGACCCACATCTTTGTCGTGGGTGGATAAACATTGGGATGACCTTGCAATGTATCTTTTACTCATCTCTCTCCCCCTGCTCCCCTAAATCTCCCTGCATCTGTCTCACATCCCTCTCTCTCTCTTCCTCTGTCATGTCTTACTCACGATTGTGTCATTTATCAAACTCTGTAACTGTCTCTTGCAGCCCCCTCCTCTTCCTCTCCCTGTTATCTTGGGTTGTGAAAACATGGCCACCAGAGGTTGGTGGGAGACAGAGGGGGCCTGCTGTCTATTATGGCTGCTTTGGCTCAGTGTCTGTTCCAATATGAAGACAGGGCAGGACTCTTTCTCTTTAGGACAGAGACAATAAACATGTTTGTTTGTACAACAACAGTCATGGAAAGCCTTGATGTGAAACAGACAACCAGCTTACTAAAGTGCATGCACATGTTCGTGGGCAACTTGTGATTAGTGTTAAATGCATCTTTTTCATTTTCACATATAATAGGAAACTCAAATCATTGGCAAAACCCAAGTAAATTCATTAGTTTCCACACTTCCTTTGGTCGTTACTCATTCCACTGTGCTGCTTCTAGCGACTCGAACGAGAGGCTGAAGATGCTAAAACTACACACCTTTATTCTGTTACCCTCCCTTACTAACTCATTACAAGCAATACTCTCTTATCACTGCATCTGCTTGCAAATGTACTTCTCTGGAACCCAGTACACAGATATATATATATATTGTGATGTTTTAACTCTAATATTGTTTTGTTACATCAACCCGTATCGTTTGTTTATATTACTTGTATCCGAACTTTCCTCCTGTCACTGCGTCGTTGGTCAGCTCTCATTATAAATGATCTGAATTTAATTAAATAAATAAATTGGCAGGCATCCTTGGATAAAGATCTCACCTCAGCAACATGTGAGGCTGCTACAGTGTAGAGTCTCCTTTATGTAAGATACTGTATACTACCCTCGTTTAGGATTTATGACGAGTAAAACAGGGCTCAGCACTAATTACTTTTAAGTACCTTGTTTTGCAGGATAATATATTGTATGACAATGTGTCTGTATAATAGCAGAGATGCACTATCTGAACTTCAGTTTTTGAACACAAGATGGGCGTCATTCCGCACCAGAAAGTTGATTTACTATAAACACTACACCTCAATCCTGCCAAGAATGACAGACTCGCTGAGAGGAGTGATGGTATTGATGGCTTAAAACACATCAATCAACTAACGAAGATAATTCAATGAAGTGAAATACAATCAAAGTATTCAAAGAAATCAGCATGAATGACTTGACTTGAAGACACTTTATGTACATCCTTGGCTCCAATACAGCTCAACTTTCCAGCCAACTGTTCACTCAATTTATGCTTAGATGGTGTGTGGTGTGTGTGTGTGTGGTGTGTGTGTGTGTGTGAGGGAGGAGAGAGAGAAGAGAGAGGAGAGAGAGAGAGAGAGAGTTTGTTTGTATTCAAACATTGTATATGTTTATCAATTTGGCAGAAAGAGAGATTTTATTTGTATTGACATATTTAGCTTAGTAACCCATATAATTATCTAACTGTTCTTCATCTGAAGCAATGATAAGGGTTTGTAAACACACTCTTGGATTGGCTGTGCCTACTACCTTGCATACCTCCCTAGTTGAATTACACGCACATGCACACAACATGCACACATGCACACATGCACACATATTCTAAAAGCATGCACACGCACAGACACACAGAAGCACACGTACTCACACAAACAACTACATTTTGAGACAACAAAAGCATGCAAACATGTTGTAATCATCCTCAATTAGGGATACCAAGGGATAAGTGAGGCGGTACAGAAAAACAAGCATTTCTGATCTATCTGAGACAACTTCGTCAACTTCTCAGATTAAAAAAACAAAACACATGCGATCGGGCCCTTTGGTCCTGGGTATCTTGTTGATATAAGTCAATGTCTTTGAGCTCAGATGATGGTGCTTTAAAACCTTTCTTAAAAAAAGAAAGTTTAGGAGGCATGAGACAAAGGCCCGAACCTTACTGCGACAGATGGTTTGTTATACAGAACCTTCTGGGAAGTTGTGTTTGGAAACTGTTTGGAAAAGGGCAGGCATTTTCAAAGAAATACCAGGCCAGGTAATTAGTTGAACCATCTGTCTCTCACCATCTATCATGAGCAAACTTCAACAAACTATAGGGTAGTTGGGCGGGTGTGGCTTAGCAGGTCGTCCACTAATCGGAAGGTTGGCGCTTCGATCCCGGGCTCCTCCCACTGTATGTCGAAGTGTCCTTGAGCAAGATTCTGAACCCCCAATTGGTCCTGGTGTGTGGATGTGTGTGTATGAATTAGTTTCTACCATTACATAATACCACTCTGCTGTGAATGGGTGAATGTGGCATAGTGTACAGCACTTTGAGTGGTTGGAAGACTAGAAAGGCGCTATATAAGTAGTCCGTTCACCGTTTAGTCAAACTAACTGAAGCCAGTTGGGAGTAGAGCGTGAAAAAAGCCTTTAGTGCTGTTCTTTGGTCTTATTGCAATGAAGTAATACTCTCCAGTTCTG